TTCATTTAACATTTTCAAAACAGCTTTCCTTACCACTACCAACGCCCCCTCCCCCCACTCCTCACAACCCCCTTCGGAAAACCTTGGAAAGTTCTCTGTTTAACACTGAAAATCATTCCTATGACACAGAGTAACAGCAGGATTTTTCTTTCTAAATTTCTAGGAAAAAAAAAAAATCCAAGTTATCACAAAGCGTTTCTCATGTTTTTCCACCTATCCAAAATACCTAATCTCATTTTAACTAGACTCCGTCTGAACATCAAGGATACTAAGCTACCCCATGAATAAACATGATGTTACAACGTGAAACCCTGTGACTGAAGTATATAAAAATGTAACTGAAAGAGAAGAATGAGAGCCCCCCCCCGCCCCTCCCACGCCCTCCCCAGGGAGCTGCAGAGTTGAGCAAGGAGGGGTGCAGGCAGCAGATTTAAATTTCAAGGTCTTCAAACACTGTTCGCGTTCATATTAAATCCTGTAAAACCAAAAACTGTAATTCTAATAAAAACCTTGTGTGTGTGGCTTCCAATTGTAATCACAGTTTTCTCTTTTGGAGTGGGATGTGTAATGTTGATAAAAGAAAAAAAAAAAAAACCTCGAAACAGAAGAAATACATAATGGAACCCACACTTTCCTGGAGTTTGTGGTGTTTTATTAAAATTAGCGTATTGCCAACAGGAAAAAATATATATATACTTAAAAACAGCTTTGTCGCAGTGGAGACATGTTGGGTCATTTGAGGAAAAAAAAGGTACAGAAAAGTTAGCTGTGAGAATGAAGATTTTTATAACTTGATAAACTTTCTTAAATTCTATAGTAATCCAACATTAGTAAAATCTTGTCACTAAAAATGAAGGTCACTATGATGTGTCCCACATTTTACCTATATTTTTCATTTCACAGACCTCAGGAAATGAAAAAAAATACTGTTTACTGTTAACTAATCACTGAAGTTTTTACAGAACAAATTCTCTATCTGTAGACCATGTTTTTAAAGCCTATCTGACTGCACTCTGCGTGCAATGCTAAACTAACTATGTAATTGTGCAGTTGTATTCTTCCGAAATACATTTGGGACAGCAAGACCATTCAAATACAAGAATTTTGGAAGACGTAGGGTAAATCGTGGTAGCACACACAACGGAAAATGTCACCCCCTTCCTCCTGCCTGGGAATTACAGTGACCAACAGTGACGCAGAGCTCAAAGAGTTTCTCTTAATTTCATTTAAAAGGGTGGGGGGAGAACACCCACACATTTCTTTATGAAATTCCACTGAGATTCTGATGTTGCAAATAAATTTCATTTCCCAGAACAGCCAAAAGCATTTAAAACATATTTTTTGTTGTTTCTGGTCGCTTTGTAATACATTCATGTTCCTTTAAAAATGTCCTATAATCTCTGAGACACTTGCTTTCCTTTGCCACAAAGATTAGGGACCTAAGTCACCTCGTGGATAAAATAAAGGTGGAGAAGGTGAGGATGAGCACTTTTAAGGGAATGGGAGGCTGATGCCCAAAGCAGCTTCGGGGCACACCAGGCCCCCAGAGGCACTGGGATTGTGTTAATTCCAGTGACAGTTCTCGAACTCTTTCTCCTCTAACATCTACTGATTCACTGATCGGCAAGTTAACAAATGTTTACTGAGTACCTACTTTGTCCCAGGAACTGCATGCTCCAAGCACTACTTTAAAACAAGACTGTCAGGGTCTCTGCCTTCAGCTTTTTCTCCACTATGACTTCATTGTTTCAGTACTATTTGTGAGTTCGAACTGAATACCATGAGCACAGAAATAATGTCTGTGCTCCTCATGCTGGTTCACAATACTTTCTCGTACAAAAGAAAACCAAACCCAGGACTTTTGCAGCATCTGAAATTTTTAAGAATTTTAGCGGTATCGCGAGGTAATTTTCAGATGAGGAACCATGATCTACGCCAAATAGTTTTAGGAAGTGACAGAAACAAGAAAGGAACAGGATTAACTCCCAATCCAACGCTCTTTAAACTCTCACTACCCATTTTCTGAAGGACTTTGATTTAATTGGAAGAAAGGCACCAATTGCAGGAGAGAATGCCCTGGGGTCAGCTATAGAAAGAATAGGTAAGTCCCACGCTTCTTTACCACTTTCTTTCCTTTCCATAAAGAAGGAGGTTTCTAGAAAATTGCTACGAACTTGACTACAATTTATTCATCAACACTGATCTGCTACAATTTCTTTCTAGCCAAGTCTATGTTGAAAAAGGAATGGGGACTTGAGAGTATTACCCAAATTGTGTGTGTGTGTGTGTGTGTGTGTGTGTGGTATTAGGACTCAATGAAATAATACCATGTAATATAGGATCAGGAACCAGAAGACAGAAGAGAAAGAAGTGAGCCTCTCTTGCCAAAAATGATTGAAGGCCTTGGTTAAGTTGCAAAAGTCACTCAACGATCTATTTGATTTTGTGTGTGAATAACCTGGTAACTCTTTCCTGGCTATTACTGTATTTTGTTTCAACCATCTCTAGGACTCAGAACAACTTTATGATCAATAATCATCATTGAAGGCACAATGTAACTTCCTCACGAAAAGGGTTTTTTTTGTCTAAATATTTTCTTTTCCAATTACAAACTATGATTAAAATTTAATATTGAATGTTAATATTTAAATATCTTAGGAGAAATTATTTTATTCTCTCCTTTTTTCATATGAAATGAAAACAAAGTTATGGCCTTTGGGTTCATGACATCATTTACTGCTTGGCAAAGAGAAAAGAAGTGTCAGGGCGATTATTTGTATAATTGTAAAAAAGATCTAATTAAGGGGGGAAATGTTCGGGGTTGGCTCTAGAACATACCAGAAAACACTTCACAGTGCTTTTCTGGTCACGGTCAGAGAGGTTTTAAAAAATCTTTAAGATTTGTCAGAGCAAGCTTTTCTCTCCAGTTTCTTGAGCTAGGAAGTGGTTTTTTTCTACTCAGAGGAAAATCTTTAAAAGTAATACCCCATAATCCAAAAGGTAGGAGTTCCTGAGTTCAGCTCTCACAAAAGATAATGTGACTTTTTTTAGGAAACATACTAGGAAAGGGGGACTTTTCAAAGGTTTCCTTTCAAATGGGAAACAAATGTGGGACCTTTCTGCAACTGCAGATTTCCGTGAGGGCCAGGACAGGGAAGTGCCCCAGATCATCTAGCTCTGAACTGCCCAAGTGATAATTTAGGAGCACAGGGGAACACAGATATGAGGGAAATCTGCCTGTTCTCCTAACCAAGGAGGATGGCAGAGAAACCTCATTCCACAACTTCTCAGAAACTTTCTAAAACGTAAGCTGGACGCAGGTTATTTTTAAATCCTATTGCTGTTCAGGAACTGAGCCCTAATGGCCCTTGTTCTCTTGTTTTCAACCAAGTATATTTTTAAGACTTTTTTTACCCCCAAATTTGTATTGCAATGAATGTGTGTCTGAACTACAAGACATTTTCTATCCCCCTAATTCTGATAAGCAGGCTATGACAACCAACAGTTTCTGCAAGAATTTCAGAGTCCCACAGATAGTTCCAAAAAAACTGAACGAAATATATAAACTGTAACACACACAACAACACACAGGAATATCATTTACTGCCAACAGGTCACCACCCTAAGTGAAACAGGGTTTACACTTCTGTAAAAGCTACTGGCTTCTGGGGAGAGCAACAGTATCATCAATTATATTTAACTTCCATGATGTATTAACATATAAAGAAAATAGCAGTGCTAAAGACAACCCAGTTGTTTTTTTTTTTTTTTAAGAAAAAAAAAATCAGTCCTTGTCTAGCAGTTAGCCAATCAGAAAGCAGGTCACATCTTGTTAGCTGTATTAAATACATTAAGCGTCATGAATTCTCCATGGCTCTGTTGACAATTTAAGCAAGTGTGTTTTATTTTATCATACAACACTGAGTCCCCTTCCAGAGCTGAGAGTCGATCTTCAATCTAAAATTCCACCAAAGCTATTCCCTTAAAGCTCTTTGCCATCAACCCTCTGGGTATTTGCACTTGGGCAGAGAAGACGGGAGTCCCAGCGATTTCTACTTCTTAAAGTGACTTTGGTGCACCTATAATAAACTCCTTCTCAGAACACTTCAACACAAAGCCCCAACTCACAGGCAAGCCCCAACTCACAGGCAAATGGACAGCCCAGCAGCAGGACCTGCCAGCCTAGCTAACACAGAGAGAAAAAGTCAGCTGGCATTAAATATTTAAATTGCAGGAGGCAGTCTGGAGTTTTGCATTTACAAAGTTCTGAAAGTCCTCTCTGCTCCCAGAGTTGCTGGCCGAGAAGGCAGAGGCTCACTCCCTCTCTCAGGCACAAGATCACAAATATGCAAAATTCGAGCTGACTTGAATGCAGAGCCAGCTCCCGGTGGAAGGTAGAGCTCCTAGGGAGACACTCCCATCAGCGATAAGAGAAAGTCGAGAACCCCCTTGCCCCAAGCAACTGGTTTCTGAATTTAACACGGAAATATACAAACAATGTGTCCCTCCAGGGTTAGTTCTGAAAAGTGTAGGGGGTTACCCTTCTGCCCCCTCCACCTCGATTTTGATGACTTTGAAAAGCAAATACAGGTCAAGGCAGACTTCCTCGGGGGATTTGTTAAAATTTTATTTTGCCAGACGCAAATGATCCCCCAGATCCCTGGGAATTATATCTCACGAAACACCAACGGGACCGACTCAGATCCTGCAAGCCCCAGAGTTCGGGAAGAACAGCATTTCTGGAGACCCGGCAGGCGTATCAAGTGCTGGGTTGTCTATTTCAAGATTCCGGCAGAAACTGTCCCCAGCTCCAAGAGTTGCTGTGCCTGGAAACCCAGCGTTCAAACTAGTGGATTCATCCTGGCGCTCATTTCCACGTACGTGGTAGTATCTAGTGGGACACTTCCCACAGAATTCAGCCAGCAACCCAGGAAAAGCCCATGCACAGTTTAAAAAAAAAAAAAAAGACACAAACACACACCCAAGGTTGAAGTACTTACCTCTGTGCGAGACTGCAGTCTCTTGTTCATCTCATAGATTCGGTACTCTGGCTGCACCATGTATGGTGTATGTCTCCTATAAAATGGGCCGAAAGGAGAAGAATAGAAGGGGTCATGTGGTGTGCTGGACATCTTGCCTGCTTGTCGAAAATCAAGCTAAACAGAGTATCAGTAACGTCCATGCAGAGCACATGGGCTGTGTTCCTCACAGTACAAAGTAGACGCACGCACACGCTCACACACACACACACACACACAGAGGCAAGCAGGCAGGCAGGCTGAACACACTGGCTGGGAACTGCTGTTGGAGCCCTCTATAGCAGGAGAGGAGAGGGAGAGCGAGAGAGGAGGGAGGGAGGGAGGGAGGGAGGGAAGGAGGGAGGGAGGGAGGGAGCACGGGAGAGGAGGGAGAGGGAGAGAGCAGGAGCTTCAGAGAGGAAGGGAGGTTGGTAGGGAGGAAGGGAGGAAAGGAGAGAGGGAGGGAGAGAAGAGAGAGAGAGAAGCTGGATAGCTTTAGGCACCACTGCTTGTTTTTAAAGAAGCAGTTTGTGGAGAGGTCATTTCCTGTCCACACTGTAGACTAGTTCAAAAATATAATTCTCCTCACAGTCTGACAGAAGTCTAAGGTTTGGTTTTAATTTTTTCCTCCCGCCAGGACCCTTCACAAGCTGATTGCTAAGCTTGTTAGCATATAGGTGGTTTAACCGCTGCCTGAGCCACTCACCCCTGACAGCCACACTGTTGTCATGTATCAGAAATGTGATGACTACAAAATACAGAAACACCGCACCGGGGTCCCCGGTATTAGAGCCGGTGATTCACTCGCATGCCAAGATTTCCCTCTGCACGAATCTCCCTGTATAGTTTTGGTTTTACTTGCTGTTGTTCCAAGGGCTTGTTACAGGTTTTACATTTCACCCCCTCCTCACCCCGCCCCCCCACAATCAGCCCTCTTCCCAGCCCCTCCCTCCTCCCCCGAGTCTTCACTCAAGCAGGTTTAAGGGGGCCTGGGTTCAGGTTACGGAAGCATTTTCAGGTAAAAACAATCATTCAGAATGTGGAATGCCTAAGATACATTCATGGAGCAATGGGTTGGGTTTTGTTTTTTTTTTTTTTCCTTTCTTGAAAAGAAAAAAAAAAAAACTACTCCCAAAGCCAACCTCCACATAAGATAGGAAAAGCAAGAAGGAGAAAACTCCCACAAAAATGACCATGGAAAATTCAGTTGAGTAGGAAATTGCAGATAATTGAATGGCTCATCCCCAAATAACATGTCCAACTCTGATGGAGGCAAGGTCTCTATTTTCCAAGATTGGTCAAGAACATAAATCTTTTCGCAACTGAGGTATATGATAACTGGAAGAAAATCTGCACAGCTCAGGGAGGCGTAAGGATCTCTACCGAGAATTAAATGATCTATATGACAATCAAATTCCACTGGAACCAATGATAACCAGACATATACCCTTAAACAAAGCCCAGACACAGAAAATGTAAATGTATTGAGCTAATACCTAGCTAGGTCTGTGGTATTAAGAAAAGAAAGCAGAAACCACCAAAAAGGGTGATGTATGCAAGACCTGAATGTAAATGCATGCAAATGAGACATTTCTTCTTTTTAATAAGCAGATTAATTAACTTTCTGCCCCAATCATGGCTTGGGGTATCTCCAAGTCACTAGCCAACGGGGGATAAGGTATTGCTAATTCTGTAAATTGCACTCTTAAGAACACTCAGGAGTAGAAATACCCCCAAATTGCTGTTTTGATCAGTCCCTTTCCGTTATTGTATGAAATGTTTGCAGAGTCCACCCCAAACTTCCAGTGCAACCCAACACAATAATGTCCCTTGCCAGGATGAGATTAGGGGAGACATTACACTAAGGCTACTTGGAACTTGTCTGAGAAGACCCCAGGGCAGGCCAGCATGCTTGGTTTCAGGTTTCATTACAAATCCAAAAGCTGGACTAAATTTGCTGCAAGGTTTGTCAAAACACACAACCTTCTAAAGACAGGATTTCAAACAAATTTGGCTTGATTTACGTTTCGGAATGATGGCCACTGCAAAATCTAACGGCTCGTTGTGTTTAGATTCCCAAATTAAAGACGTTCTAAGAGTTTAGTGCCTGCCTGAGTTTATGTTTACGTGGCTGGTTTTCGGAAGAAGCAGCAAAGTCACACCTAGCAGGCATGTACAGCCCCATAGTGATCAAAAAAAGGAAAAGCTCAAAAATCCATTTAGGGTTTAGAAAATCCTTTCTAATAAGGTAAAATTTTACTCTCATTAATTCTTGCAGACCATTCCAAGTTATAATTGGAAATACCACTTCCTGTTAATAACTAAAGTCTCCAAATTCAGAAATATCTGAAAGTTTATCATGCTTGGGCCACATAGTTTTTCATCTCTATTACTTCAAGAGTCTCCAAACTGGTCTCCCTGCTCAGATCCACAATTCTTGTGCTTTGTCCTTATTATAATCAGAATGTTGACTGCAGAAAAGAAAAGCTGATTTTGCCCCACATCTTTCCTTCAGTGTTTCCCTGTCCCCAGTAAGAAAACATCCATGCTCCCTCCCTAGCGCACAGAGCTCCTTAACACCTGTGTGCATGCATGCTCTCTCTCTCTGTCTTTCTGTCTCTATCTCACACACACACCGTTTATTTGTTTGTTTGTTATACTTGGTCTTCCTAAAGTTGCAATCTCGTTTCATGCGTTTGTACTTTTATCCTTTGTTTCCCTGCAAACTCCTACTCATCTTCCTGCCTAATTAGATTGTCTCCTCTCCTCTGGATCTTTTCATTATTCCTTCATTAATTCATTTATTCCATAGATATTCCATTCCCAGCAGAAGGGAGCACGGACCACAGCCCTGGCCAGATCACTTTGCAACCCTGGTTGCACCCCTTCTCTGCTCTGTGAGAACTTGAGCAAGTGACTCCATCCCCCTGTGAGCCTGTCACCCCATTTTTAAACTGGAGACAGAGAGAGTGACGATCCATAAGATCGGTGCAAAGGATTAGACAAGATAATGCACTACAATGTATTCGATAATGCAACACATGTATAATTCTCAAAAAAATATTATTCTTACTAGGTGCCTAATATATGCTTGGATGCTGGGAAACATTGGGAGGTCAAGGTGGATAGCAGACATGCTCCCCACCTTCCTGCCCCTTGCAGTCCACTGAAGGTAAGAGGGGAGACAGCATAGGAGAACTAAAAAGACTTGGGGAACATAATTTCAAACTGTAGTGTGTGCTGTGAAGGAAATACAGCAGTTCCGCTTTATCTGAGGGGGTATGTTCCAAGACCCCCAGGGGATGCCTGAAACCACCATTAGCACGCAACGCTACATATACTATGTTTTTTCCTACACATGTATATCTCTAATAAAGTTTAATTCATCAGCTAGGCACAGTAAGAGATGAACAACAATAACTAATAATGAAATAGAACAATTATAACAACACGCTGTAATAAAAGTCATGTGACTTTGGTCTCCCTCTCTCACAATAAAAAGCATGTGACTACGGTCTCCCTCTCTCAGAATAAAAGTCATGTGACTATGGTCTCCTTCTCTCAGAATACCTAACTGTACTGTACTCACCCTTCTTGTGATGATGTGAGTTGATAAAGTGCCCATGTGTTGAGAGGAAAGGGGGTGAATGAACATAGGCATGTGACGTAGTGTTGGCCTGCCTTTGACGTACTGACCATTTCGTCAGAAGGAGGAGCATCCGCTTCCAGGTCAAAGCTGACCGCTGGTAATTGAAGCTGCAGGAAGCAGAACCATGGAGAAGGGGGTGGGGGACTGCTGTAAATAAAAGCAAGAGTTAGAAAATAATGTCCCGGGCACCTGGGTGGCTCAGTTGGTTAAGCGACTGCCTTCGGCTCAGGTCATGATCCTGGAGTCCCGGGATCGAGTCCCACATCGGGCTCCCTGCTCAGCAGGGAGTCTGCTTCTCCCTCTGACCCTCTTCCCTCTCGTGCTTTCTATCTCTCATTCTCTCTCTCTCTCAAATAAATAAATAAAATCTTTAAAAAAAAGAAAATAATGTCCCCGTTTGGGTCAACACTGTGTGTCTTCTGTGTTCTTCCGCTGGAGAATTTACGTGTAAATGTGCTAATTGCTATCATTTATTAAGTCTTTACTGTGTGGGAGGCACCGTGCTGAGTGGTTTACACAAATATTCTTTATTGATCTCACAATAAACCTATGGGATTGATTCAACCACTCTCTCCATTTTACAGATACGGAGACTGGGGCTTCAAGATGCTATGAAACTTCTTCAAGGTCATACAACTAGTAAGTGATAGGGACAAGACTCTTATGCATTTCGCTGCTGGACTCCCAGGTCCATCTTCCTCATTAGGGCATGTCTGTTCTTTGACCCCAGTGGCCAGCGTGGTACTGAGCCCACAGTAGGTGCTCAAAACACACACACCTAATCAAATGGAAGAAAAGACAAAAGGATGAAATGTCTCCCATTACCTGGATTTTATTCTTTGTCCTGCTTAATTTCAGGCATCCGCCCCTACTTCTATCCATTCTCCCTAAAGCCTTGCCAAGTTATTCCCACTTTTCTTACTGTCCCAAATCTTCCAGAACATACTCCCAAAATTGCACAGTTAGGTCTTTAATGCTTTGCGCAATTAGATCACCTGGTTGGTTTTGCCACTTCCCTGTTTCTGAAGGGACCAGCTATGATTCATCTGATTCTGGCCCAGGGCTGAGCATGATAAGTGAAAGGAATGACATGCTCATTTTAAGGCTGCAAATCAACTCCTTCGGGAAACCATAGGGAAATTCAATAAGCAATGTTTGTATACCAAAGAAGAATGAACAAGCCTAACCCCTGGTGTGACAGTTCTATTACCCCCAAAGACTGAGCCATGAGTTTACATATAATTTTGCATGGTGAGTATTGAATAAGCTCCAAAAGTCCTCACACAGACATTCAAGGTGACTGAAAAGCTGGCCTGACCTTTAAGCTTGGGACCTCATCTTGCCACATTCACACTAGGTCTAACCCACAGAGTGTTTATTTTTCCTTTAATTTGAAATACTTGCCAACAGTTTACAAAAATAAAGAAGTTCATATAAAATCCAGATTTTCATCTTGTATTGAAAAATCATAAGCTCTGGCAACCCTCAACCCTCGGCCCCCCTCCCTGCCTATACGGCAGCAGCACATGGGGGGACCTGACTCCAAGTACTTGTGTCTCCATCACGAGATGGCCTTCTCCAGCCAGT